AATGTTTAAAAACATTGTACTTCTCTTTAGTAAGATCTGGGCTGGAATATGGTTCAATTATTTGGTCTCCATTTGTAGCCAGTGAAATTAAAAAAATTGAATCTGTACAAAACCGCTTTTTAACCTGTTTATCGTACAAATTAAATAAAAATAGGATTAATTATGAAAATTTTCGTGATAGTTTGAAAATGGACTCTTTATTATTTAGAAGACAATATTTAGATATAAAATGGATATATAATTTACTCAACAACAAAATAGATTGTCCTGAAATTTTAGATAAATTACCTTTCAATGTTCCTCAATTATCTCTTCGAAATCATTCTATGTTTTATATACCTACCCTCGCGCAAAACTACAGTAGAAACTCTCCTGTAAATCGCATGCTTTATTTATGCAATTCTTTAAATAATTTTGATTTTAATCATGATTCGTCAGCTATATTATGGTTAACATGTCGAAATAACCTCAATGTATAATTTGAAGTGGTCCTTTTATATATGTAATTGATATTTATTTACATTCATTTTGTATTTTATTTTAGTTTAATATTTTTAACTTAAAGTTTATATTTATAATTATTGTTATAGAGTAAGTAATTATCTGTATTATTATTTCCGTACTGTACTGTTTGCCCTAATGGGCGTAATCATCATCATCTTTGATGAAATAAATAAATAAATAAATAAATAAANTTATAAAAAATGTAGCACAACATGACAATAGTACAATAGTTATTATAAATAATAATTTCTCAAATTGATTAATTTTTACAGAAAATTATAAAGAATTAAAAAAAATAAAAAGTCAACTTGAAAATATCTGACACAGAACCTTTAAATTTTCATGCCGCAAAATGATAAAGACGTGTTAAAATCATTTTGACGAATAACTACATACAATTGGGTTATTGACTAAAATATTTAATTTGATAACACACATGTTTTTCAACAACTATCTACTTTCACTTGTAAACGTGAAAAAAATGCAATCGTAAATCATATTTTTATTGATATTTAATAATTCCATTGATAAGGTACAATATCAATTTAACAATATTTATTGATCGTTTCATGCTCAAGTACGATCATTAAGATAAACCAAGCAACAATAATCAGGCAATTTATGATTATTATGTCTACGGAATTACACATTGATTAGTTTTTACTGTGGCAAAATGTGCTTCCAAACTCAAAATTGATCCTTTTAAACAACAATATCTCAAAAATGATTTATCCAATTTTAAAATTTTAAAAGTATTTTTATTTTAAATAAAATTTTCTAACCGAAAATTTAAAAAAAAGTAATGGTTGCCATTTAAATTTCTTAAGTTAGGGTAGATTTCTACCCTTTTGCATTAGGGTTGAACTTAAATTTTAATCGTAAAAGATGCATTTAATTATTCAATTAGCTTCTAAAAAAAAAATTATTAAAAAAATCAATAGCGGCTCTAAAAAATGGGTGTTTCCGAACTTATTGAACACTTTTATATATACAGGTATATATAAAAGTATCAGTATTTCCGGAACACTTTTAAAATTTAAGTTGAAAAAGTTGTCATTTTGGATCCCCCCCTGTGAGCAGGTCTAGGGTCAAATTTATAATTTAAAATTTAAATAGAAGTTTAGTGATTATTTCTCTGTAACTCTTATTCCTATATCTTAAATCTTTTCTATAACTCATGGTGCTTAAAATGTTTCTACAGTTGAAATATTCAGGATTAAATTAATTTTTAATTTTTAAAAATAACCAAAAATATGTAAAGTGAAATGAAATTCAACAAGATATCAGAGGAAGAAATAATAGGTGAAACTAAGTCCATCGAGTTCGGGACAATTCTTCATTTTTAATTTATAGTACGTAACATAAGCTTTCATTTAACATATGTTTAAAGGACACAGTATTTCCGGAACAATTTTATAACTTAAGCTGAAAAATTTATATTTTTGTGTAAAATTTGCTATTTTTAATACCCGCCTTTGAGCAGGTGAATGTTCCAGTTTTAAATAATAATATTATACCCAAAAGAAGAAAAATATTCAAGGTGTTTATTTAAAAAACAAAAAAATTCTGATTTATTCATTTTTAAAAAAGGTTTTGGCAGTTTTAAGAAAAAAATTTAATGAAATGATAAAATATACCAATTTTAATTATTTGAGGAAATTTTGATTACTTACGGGAAATTAAGGAGAATTATCTATTTTTGAGAGTTATATCCTAAACTAAATACTATTTGTGATCTCTTGATATATCGTTGAAAAAAATCGATCCAGTGAGAACTGAGAAAAAAAAGTGACAGAAAAAAAATATTAAATACAATATGGTAAAATTAATACTTTTTCAGTTTCGAATCGAAATTAAAAATGTCCTTTAAATTAAATGGGCATAATAATTTTATGTTAATTGACTACAAGTTTTATTGGCCAATGTATTTTTCATTTTATTGCAATTTATTTGTTTTTATATAAATTTTCCTTCTTGTTTCCATGACTATAAATTTATATTGTTTAAGTTAATATTTTTTTAACAGTCACGAGTGATTTAGGTGTGACACGAAAATTTTCTGAAGCCCGAAAACTCCACAAAAATTGCCCAAAACCCTTTTATATTTGATTTTTTGTAGTCAGATATTTAATTTATATCTCTGCACGAATAGTGAAACATGAAAACCAAAACCAAAAAGCCTATAAGCCATTTAAAAACTGGACATAGAAAATCAAATTCCATTCTCGTCAACATACGTTCAAATCCTCATTATATTGGCAAACGTCCAAATAAACGTAAAATTATAAAATTTTATAAAGATCTTTTAACATTTTATGAAGACGAGGATGCAACGATTCAAAAGCCTGAAATTTCCAAGAGGTTTCAATCAAAAAACACAATTAATGTTAGCCATGTTAAGAAAATTACTAAAAAACAAACAACTGTCAATAAGAGACAAGTAAAAAATTTTGATACGTTAATTTTGAAACGTAAAAATCAAACTTGCAATAAGTCAAACGCTAAGATATCTACTAAAAACAAATCAAATTCAATTAATGTAGAAATACCATCCGAAGCAGACAAACATATGAGTAAGATTAATTTATTTTATATTAATATATTTTAATATACAATTTATATATTTTACATAAAATATTTATAATTTTTGAATCTATAGATCCGATTGTATTGATCGAAAGAATTCCACAAGACGTTATAGACTATTATATGTCTAGTAAAAAACTCATGCAGACGAAATAATAAATAATTCTGGTGAACAAGAAAATGTAAGAATTAACAATTCTGAAACCCACCAGACGTATCGAAAAAAGAATAGAACTTCTATCATCAACATCAACATATGTACAAATCCTCATTATGTTGGCAAACGTCCAAATAAACGTATTATTATAAAATTTTATAAAGATCTTTTAACATTTGATGAAGACGAGGATTCGAGGATTCAAAAGCCTGAAACTTTTAAGACTTTTCAATCAAAGAAGAGAACTCATCTCGACGACGTTAACGATTCACGTAAAAAACTTAGACTAACAAATAAATATGAAGAAAAAGTAAATAATTCTTATACTCTTAATTCAAATCGTAAGAATAAAATTCCTGACAAGTCAAACGTCGAGATATCTACTGAAAACAAATCAAATCCAATTAATGTGGAAATACCATCCGACAATGTCAATCATATGAGTAAGTGTCATATTTTTTATAATGAAATTATTATAGTAATATTTATTTTTATATATTCTTTTTTAAAGTTCCAATAGTGTTTATAAAAAAGATTTCGTCATTTTGTAATAATATAATTACTTTTTAATATAAAAATGATTTATTTTGTATAAAATTGTTATCAAAAAATTAATTTATAATTTTGGTATTTATAGATCCGTTTGTGTTGCTCAAAAGAATTCCATAAGAAATTATAGACTCCTATATGTTTAATAAAACAATTAATACAATCGAACTAGAAAAATTAGTAAATAACATCGAACTATTTAACAATGTTGATGGCATAAATAATTTTGATACACCAACTGATAATCCTACAAAAAATAAAAGGTTATCTACGAATAGCTCTACAAAGAAAATTTCTAAGAAAAAACGATCAAAATGATCTAGATTCAATTGATGAACTCATCTCAACATTTAATTTTGATAAATCATGACCAAGCAATTTACCTTATAACTCTTACATTTTTTGCCGCAGAGACTATAGATTTAATTTAAACAAATTTTTATTGAACTATACTCTGCGGATGACTTATAATTGTTGAAAAATCAACAGTGTTGTATTATAAACAACTTTCAAGTCGGTAATAATTTCCGTGAACTTTCGTTCAAGAATTTTCAATTTAATAAATAGTTTCGTTTCTATCATTGATTTTGTACATTATATTTTTTATGTTGTTGTTCTAATCATAAAAATTGTTTTTTTGAATTTTTTTTTTTTATTTAAGATCTAATGAATATTTTTCTCATTGGATGTTTAATGATTACACGATGCATATATTTTTTTTTTATTTAAAATAAAGTATATTACATAAGCTTTGATTTAAGATATATATAAAAGTATCAGAATTACCGGAACACTTTTAAAATTTAAGTTGAAAAAGATAATTTTTTGTGAAAAAGTTGTCATTTTGGATCGCCCCCTGTGAGCAGGTCTACGGTCAAATTTATAATTTAAAATTTAAATACAAGTTTAGTGATTATTTCTATGTAACTCTTATTCCTATATCTTAAATCTTTTCTATAACTCATGGTGCTTAAAATGTTTCTACAGTTGAAATATTCAGAATTTAATCAATTTTTAATTTTTAAAAATAACCAAAAATATGTAAAGTGAAATGAAATTCAACAAGATATCAGAGGAAGAAATAATAGGTGAAACTAAGTCCATCGAGTTCGGGACAATTCTTCATTTTTAATTTATAGTACGTAACATAAGCTTTCATTTAACATATGTTTAAAGGACACAGTATTTCCGGAATAATTTTATAACTTAAGCTGAAAAATTTATATTTTAGTGTAGAAATTGCTATTTTTAATGCCCGCCTTTGAGCAGGTTAATGGTCCAGTTTTAAATAATAATATTACACCCAAAAGAAGAAAAATATTCAAGGTGTTTATTTAAAAAACAAAAAAATTCTGATTTATTCATTTTTAAAAAAGGTTTTGGCAGTTTTAAGAAAAAAATTTAATGAAATGATAAAATATACCAATTTTAATTATTTGGGGAAATTTTGATTACTTACGGGAAACTAAGGAGAATTATCTATTTTTGAGAGTTATATCCTAAACTAGATACTATTTGTGATCTCTTGATACATCGTTGAAAAATATCGATCCAGTGAGAACTGAGAAAAAAAAGTGACAGACAAAAAAAAAATATTAAATACAATATGGTAAAATTAATACTTTTTCAGTTTCGAATCGAAATTAAAAATGTCCTTTGAAATAAATGGACATAATAATTTTAAGTTATTTGGCTACAAGTATTATTGGCCAATGTATTTTTCATTTTATTGCAATTTATTTGTTTTTATATAAATTTCTCTTCTTGTTTCCGTGACTACAAATTTATATTGTTTAAGTTAATATTTTTTAACAGTCACGGGCGATTTAGATGTGACACGGAAATTTTCTGAAGCCCGAAAACTCCACAAAAATTGCCCAAAACCACATTTATATTTGATTTTTTGTAGTCACATATTTAATTTATATCTCTGCACGAATAGTGAAACATGAAAACCAAAAGCAATAAGCCTATAAGCCATCTAAAAACTGGACATAGAAAATCAAATTCCATTCTCGTCAACATACGTTCAAATCCTCATTATATTGGCAAACGTCCAAATAAACGTAAAATTATAAAATTTTATAAAGATCTTTTAACATTTTGTGAAGACGAGGATGCAACGATTGAAAAGCCTGAAACTTCCAAGACGTTTCAAGCAAAAAAGACACTTAATGTTAGCCATGTTAAGAAAATTACTAAAAAACAAACAACTGTCAATAAAAGACAAGTAAAAAATTTTGATGCGTTAATTTCGAAACGTAAAAATCAAACTCGCAATAAGTCAAACGCTAAGATATCTACTAAAAACAAATCAAATTCAATTAATGTGGAAATACCATCCGAAGCAGACAAACGTATGAGTAAGATTAATTTATTTTATATTAATATATTTTAATATACAATTTATATATTTTACATAAAATATTTATAATTTTTGAATCAATAGATCCGATTGTATTGATCGAAAGAATTCCACAAGACGTTATAGACTATTATATGTCCAGTAAAAAAACCAATGCAGACGAAATAGTAAATCATTTTGGCGAACAAGAAAATGTAAGAATTAACAATTCTTGTAAGTAAGCTTAATTTATTTTATATTAATATATTTTGTTTTTAATTTACAATTTATATATTTTACATGAAATATTTATCAAAAAATTATTTATAATTTTTGAACTTATAGATCCGATTGTATTGATCGAAAGAATTCCACAAGACATTATAGACTATTATATGTCTAGTAAAAAAACTCATGCAGACGAAATAGTAAATAATTCTGGTGAACAAGAAAATGTAAGAATTAACAATTCTGAAACCCACAAGACGTATCGAAAAAAGAATAGAACTCCTGTCATCAACATCAACATACGTACAAATCCTCATTATGTTGGCAAACGTCCAAATAAACGTAAAATTATAAAATTTTATAAAGATCTTTTAACATTTGATGAAGACGAGGATTCGAGGATTCAAAAGCCTGAAACTTTTAAGACTTATCAATCAAAGAAGAGNATTGTATTTGTTTCAATGGTTGTTTCTTCAGTCTATGGAATTGTATTTGTAGTGTCATAGAATTCTATGTTCCCTGGATCATCAAAATTAGGTCTTTCAATGAATGGTTTAATTGATTGTACATGCACTATTCTTGTGTCTTTTTTTTTGTTTTTTGAATGGTCCACTTCTCTGATTCTATAACATACTTTACCAACTGGATTTTCAATCATAAATGGTCCTTTGAACTTGGGTGTTAGTTTTGTATCTGAAGATAAGGGCAATTCATACAAAACTATGTCTCCTTTATGAAATGATTGGCTTAGTCTGTTTTTATCAAAACGTTTTTTGTTTTCCTCATGTTTTTTTTTAATGTTCTCAGCAGCTCTATTTCTTGCTTCTGTAAGTTCTTCTATTTGTTGTTCTCTTGAGATGTCTGATCTTATAGCTTCTATGTTTAATTCCCAAGAAATAACTCTAGGTTCATATCCAAATAACAGGTAAAATGGTGAATATTTTGAAGAACTCTGCTGAGTAGTGTTGATTGCCAAGATCAAATTAGGTAGTTTTTCGTCCCAATCATTAGGATGTTCTAATGTAAATTTAGAAAGCACTGATATTATGGTTGCATTTGAACGTTCGATTAAACCATTTGACTGAGGAGTATATGGAGGTGTTAGTAGATGTTCAATTCCATATTTTTCCATAAACAATTTAAATTTTGCACTGGTGAATGAAGAACCGTTATCACTAATATATGTAAGTGGTGGTCCATATTGATTGCAGATATCATTTTCAATGNTAATATATGTATATATATATTTGATTGCAGATATCATTTTCAATGGTGTTAATAATGTCTTCTGTAGCTGTTGTACACGTTGGTCTAGCAATAAGAAAACGAGTGGCATGACATATATGTGCTAAAATATAACAATTACCAGCTTTTGTGGGTGGTAATGATAAATGATCAGCAGATATAACTTGAAATGGAACTTGAGGAATATTTCGTTCACCTAGCATTCCATATGCTGGGGTTGTTCTTCTATTTACTTTTTGACAAACAATACAACCTCGAACATATAGTTTAGTATCTTTTCTCATTGAACTCCACCAATATCTGATTTTTAATTTTTCTAAGGTTTTTTTTGCATCAAAGTGACCAGCATTGTCATGACAGCTTTTGAGTACTATATTACGATACGAAAATGGTATTAAAATTTTACATACTTCACGACCATTTTCAATATTGACATGAACTAAAATACTGTTATCATATTTGTATGAACGTTTTATTTGTTGTATATGTATGTTATCATTGTTGCTTTTCAATTTGTTTGTGATTTGTTGACAATAAGCATCAGACTTTTGAGCTAATTCCAAATTTTGATCATATGTTGGAATTATAGCAAGACATAGATTATTTTCCTTTATCTCAGGTTGTGGGTATCGAGACAAGTGATCTGCAATATGATTAAGTTTCCCTGATCTATAGATGGGTTCAAAATCGAAAGATGCTAAATCGACCACATACCTGGCAAATTTACGATTCAATTTGGCTTTACTTACAATGTATGCTGTAGAATAACTATCAGTTAAAAGTTTAAAATTTTTTCCAGTCAGATAAAGTCGAAATTTATCTGTTATAGCCCAATGAACTGCAGTTACTTCTAATTCGTTACTATGGTACTTTTTTTCTGCATCCTTAAGTGTACGACTCGCATATTCTATTATATGTGTGTTTCCATTATTAATTTGAGAAAGACATGCTACTAATCCTTCATAACTTGCATCTGTTTCAACCATAGTGGGTGCATCTTGTTTGAAATGTGCTAATAATGGTGCTGATGTTAGTGCAATTTTCAATTTCGTAAATGCTTGTTGTTGATTATCATTTAATGTAACAGGTTTCATTTTGGAGTTATTTATATCAGTTTTATTCTTTTTTAAAATATTAGTAAGAGGTTTCGAAATTAAAGCAAAATCCTTAATATAGCGTCGTAAGGTATTAGCAAAACCGAGAAAACTTCTTACTTCATGTATAGTATCAAGTGTTTTATATCTTTGTACCGCTATTACTCTATTAGGATCTGGATGATCGCCGTCTTCGTCCAGAATTCTGCCAAATAATTTGATTTTTTTAATTGCAAAGTGACATTTTTGTCTTGTAAATTTGAGTTTATGCTTTCGGGTTGCTTCAAAAAGTTTACGAATGAAAACCAAATGTTCATCGAATGAATCATGTCCACCACCAATGTCGTCATAATATTTTACCAAACCAATACTCTGTAAATGACCATAAGCTTCCGATATTGCTCTAGCAAGTATAGCAGGTGCGTTGGAAAGACCAAATATTACATGAGTAAATTCGATATGATGATCTGGTGTTACTGCTGCTGTTTTAAATACATCCTCTTCTTTTATTTTAATGTGATTAAACGCTTGTTTGATATCAACAACGGTTTTATATTTTTTGCCAGCCAATTTCTTTAACATTTCATCCATTTGATCTATAGGAAATGGATCTTTTATCGTTACTTGATTAATGGTACGAGAATAATCAATAACGACACGCTTAGGCGTTGATATGTGGAATGGTTGTTCTATAACAAATGCAGGTGCTCCATAAGAGGAATTTGAATGACGACAAACTTTATTTTCAATCCATTTTTCTACTTGTTCACTCATAAATATGCGATTAGGTTCGGTAACTCTATAAGGCTTGCACTTAATAGGCTTATTATTTGTCAAATTAATTTCCATTTCCAAATTAGGAAACTCACCAATTTCGTTCTCTGGATCAGAAAAAACGTCTCCAAAACTGTCCAAAATACTTTGCAGTTTTGTATTTTGATCTTTGGATAAATATGTATTAATATCTTTTTCTGGATCTTTATGTTTTTTTTCGTTTTCTTTAACTTTATTATATTTTGAAATCAGTGGTTTTGAAGAAAATCGTGATTCTACAATGCATCCTACAAAGGAATCATTAGCTTTAACACATCCAAATTCTTGAGTAGATGTAGGTGTAGTAATGCAAATCGCTCCATTTGGTTCTATTATCATGGTAGCATGTACTGCTGACTGCCAGTCACGACCAAGTATCATGGCTATTGGTAACGATTCACATACTCCAACTTTTGACATTGTATAATATATTTTACCTACTTCAATTCTTAATGTTATCCATCTGCAAGGTGTACAATCGCCATCTGGTGTAGCATATGCTCCATCTTGCCAAGGATGTATGATAGTATTTTCTGGAATAAAACATTTTCTCAAAAGTGTTACACAAGACTCATTATCTGGTAATGCATCTATTGTTAAGTTGCCATTGATAGTCACTGGAATCTGAGATACTTTTGAATTGGAAGTATAATTGTATTTTTGTAAACAATTTATACTTTTGTTTTTAAAACTTATATCTTTTTTTTCATTTTCTTCAGTTTTAATGTATGTTTTATCTGATGTTGATTTATTTTTATTCAACCAATTACCTTTATCTTTATTATTTGCTTTTTCAGATTTACAATCATAACTAACATGTCCCTTTTTTTTACAGTTAAAACAAATTTGTTCTTCTTTTTTATCAACTGTTGGATTGAAACGATGGATTTGTTTTGATTCTTTAGTACATTCAATATCTTTTAATGTGTTGACATTGGATTTGTTTGTACTTATTTTGCGTATAGTGTCTAAAGGAATTGCACGGTCAATCAATTCTGGAACAGAACAACACATTGCTGTAGCAAGTGGAACTGCCCATATATTATCAGTGATTCCTTCTAATATTAGAGAAACACGATCTGATTGTTGTATTTTGAAAGGCGCTTTTTCAATAATAGCATCTTTATCAAAAATGTATTCTACTATTGGTTCATCTGTTCGTAAAATGCGTTGTCCTTGAAACTTTATAAAATCGGAAAAAGACATTTTACCTTTAAATCGTTCAGAGATTTTTTCTTTCCATTCTGACCATGAGTTTATTTGACGTCCGGATACCTTATGCCAATTTTGAGCTGGACCTCGTAATCTCGAAACAGCATTAACTAATGTTAGTGAATCTGACCAATGAGCATGTTGTGAAATGCGTTCAACTTCAACAATCCATTCTTCAACATTTTCATGTTTTTTTCCATGATAAATTGATATTGCAGAAGCTGTGTCATTGGTAGATATAATCTGTATTTGGCTACTATTATTAACATTCATGTTTTCTGAAATAAGCTTTTGTGTAGCAACAAGCTGAATTAATAAATCCATAGGAATTTGATCTTTATCAACAGTTCCCATTTTAGCCTTTTTTAATGTTTCATTTTCTTGTTGCAATTTTGTTATTCTTATCAAGTCTTCGTTTTGTTTATTTCGAGAAGCAATTAAGGCTTCTTGTAAGTTATCTGCAATAACTCTCTCATTGTCAGCCAAAAGAATATCAATCAGTTCATCTTTATTACCTTTTTCGGGAAGGTGTCGAAATTTTAATTCTTTTTTTAATTCCTCAACTTTGATAGTTTTCAACACGTTAATATCTACTGAGTCTAAACTATTCATCTTCAAATTTTTAAATATAATAACAATTTATAACAACAAAACAAAAATTACAAACGACGAAACGTAAAACAACGAAAGTATAAAAACAACACTATCATTTATCACGACTGGATTACGCGGTATCAGTTTTTATACTCGACTGAGAAACATGATAAACATTGCGGTTCCAACATCGATGCTAACTTCAAACATAGAGGTTAACCTTAAATGAAAATTGTAACATACAACTTTCAGCACGTTCGAATTTTAAAATAAAACACTATTAAATGCGTTATAAAATTTTTATATTTACCACAGCGCCATGTAACGTTTTAATATTATTAATATATAAATAATAACTACTCCACTTATAAATGTAAATTATAATATATATTTAATATTAACATTGATCCTATTAACAGTAGGATATAGAATAGACTAATGAATGCATTACAAAAATAGTTTACATAGGTAACATAATAGGAATTACAGTGTGACCTTACAATATTGACTGTTGAATAATTTAATTATTTAAATAAAAAATAATCATT